CCAGCATACCAAGCATGCTAAGCATGCTGAGCCCCCTGAGCAGTGAAGCCATGAAGTTCCGCAGCTGCTCTTGGCTCCAGCCATCTTGGCACTCGCTTCAAGCATTACACCTGGACGTGATCCTACCCCACAGTGACTCAGAGGCAAGGCCAGACCCAAATTCATAAGTAAATCCAGGCTCCTAAGCCCAGATCCCTTACCTCCTTACCCGCAAACCATATGCCTGCAAAGCCAAGGGAGGCATGCCCCTTTCAGATGCGGCAGCTGTGGAAGGTGGTTGGCGGCGCCGAGCAGGGCGGGATACTGGGTTGCAAGAGCAGGGGCCCGTCGAGTTCAGTGAGTTTAAAGGTTGTTTTCATAAAAGTTTCACAAGTTTGGTTTTGATGTTAAAAGATTTGCGGTTGCCACGGAATGTCCTACGTCAGGGCATGGCCCTCACACTACACCAAGGCTCTCATTAAAGTGATCCTTCCATAGCTTAGCCGTAAAAGCTTGGCCAGGCTGATAACCATCTTGATGAAATGCTTCCGGAAAAACCTAAAGTTGTTAGTACCTGATTTCTCTTCAATTTCTTACACGCACGCCCAACTCGAAATCCTAAACCCGGATATGAGCCCAACTCCTTCTTCCCTAGACCAAAAATTCTTCTTCCTTCCTCAGGATCCTGGTCCGCGAGGGCCGTGAGCTGCAGAGTGTGGCTTGTGGGGAGCGGCTGCAAAGCGGCGCCTTGGTGGAGGACCGCAGGCTTTGGGGTTTCACTGAAGGTGAAATATCGGTATTGTTCACGTTGGCATCTTTATCTTCGCAGTCTATTTGACGTCTTAGACGCCCGAACAAAGCACACAAAGAGCACTGCAGGGCGAAAGACCGCATGGCGATGGTTGCGTTAACTTGTCCACGACATGACAGTGCAACATGGGAAAAATGATGAAGTAGATGCTTCAGAAACGCAGAAAGCCGGGGCCGCAGAGGGCGATGCGGGCACCCCAATGGTGTGACTCAACGCAAGAACTCTTTAGTGCCATCATTTTGTTGTGGGAAACGGTGCCGCCTGCTGCTGGTGCTACAGCTGCTGGTACCACGATTACAGCGCACTGCACCGTAAACTGCGTGGCCAACGGAGGAGCTGGAACTCCGTTCGGGCAGGCTTCGGTTTCGGAAGTATGATGGCGAAGGTCCGCTTGAGGGCTGGGTGAGTGCAGCTTGCCTTGCCAGCAGACGAGGAGCAATTTTAGGTTTAGGTTTTGGGCAAGTCTTTTGAGGCCGGGATTTATCCCGTTTTGCAAGTGGTGAGGCAGGCCCAGATCTTCTAACATTTGTTTAAAGCCAGCAGCTACGACTGTGGAAACGACACCCAAGCACCGTGAAGGTTCTCCGCCACAAACTCGGCAAGCTTTTAGCCTTGAACGTAAGCGCCGTAGCTGATTTTTCCCTTTTGAACGCTGAACCAGGAGCTTGAAGACTTGAATGTTTGACAGCGCATTTCAATTCTCTAGAGGAAGCCGTAGGCCTGATAGGCTCTGCTGTTTGAGGTGAGCCTTACATCTGGCAAGATCCTCCTGAAGAGGGTGGCCGAAACACCTTGGCCACTGAATCCTCGGGATGATGAGGCCGCCCTGAAGGGGTCAGAGCCCACATTGTCAACCTTTGGAGCTCAATTGGTGGTCTCTGTGGGGCTGATTACGAGGTGCAGTGGTGTGGGGTATGATCCCGGTTTTATCGTGTGGTGGAAGGGTTTCGTCTGTCAGAAGGGGTTTGAAACGCTTGATTCAGATTTGCGAAGCTTTCTGTTGAGTTCTTAAAGCGGCTGCTCACAGCATGGTGAATTTTATGTGGTGTGTGAGTACATTGGGTTGTCTGCTTATCGCTCCCAAACAGCGACGCCGTCTTGAGTACAGTTCCAGGACTCCACCACAAGTCAACATCCTTGTTTGGGTTTCGTTTGAGCAAGTTCCCACTTGGAGATTGGAGGCGTAAACGCAGGCGCTGCGCTGATGCCCTTGAGAATAAATAGTACAGACCAACAGGACAGTCTTCTTGAGGCCGGATGCGGGGAAATTCCCATGTGCTGAAACCTTCAACACATTAACTCAGACCTTAAGCCACCGAACCCTTCAACTTAGCCTCTCTGGTGCCGTTCCTTCTTCTGAACCTTGATCCCAATGTCTGCGTCCATGCGCTGTGCGCCACTTTTTGTGACATACCCTCCTCATTCGCCTACCTTGATGGACTTAATCCATACCTGAAACCTTCGATTATTTCAAGATGACGCTTTGAACCTTGATGAACTCTAAGCCCAAGTACAACACACAAAGAATGACTTTTACAATTTTCACGGTGCTGGTGTTGTATTTTCCCGCTCATAAGAGGTCTGGCAGTCCGAGCTGGAACCCGAAGTCTTCGAAGTCTTGCGGAAGAAGGCCCGGAAGGAAGAGTAGAACAACTCCGAAACAAAGAGGTTCTTCGCAGACCCTGGGGTGGAAGTCGCGGAGGTGATCTTTATTGGCATCAATCTCTCTCTTTCTTCTCTTGCTCTCTCTCCCGTCTCCTCTCTGTGATCCCTTGCTACCCTCATTTGATTTTGCTATTTCCTCTGAGTCATGCGGTGGGGATATATCGTCACAGTTTTGTCTCTGCTGTGGTTTGCATTGTTTCTAATTAAAGCACAATTTAGGATATGTAAAAGCCTATGAACCTCTGAGCAATCCCGCTGGTAGGTCACGGAGCCTCGTGGCTCCGGGGAGTACAACGCTTTCTTTCCCAGCAGTGGCGACTTTCCTGACACTTGCGTAGAGAGTCGATGCTTGGGACTCTGTTGGACCATGATTGGGTTCCGTGCAGGACACATGGATTCCAAGAGCTCTTATGTCGGCTTACTTGGTTTAGGCTACAATCCAACTGAAGTCTGAACCTCAGATCCTGAATCTGAAGTCTGAATCCAAAACCTTGGCCCTTTAAACCCCAAAGGCCCCCGTTTAGTCTCCGTGTTTCCTCGTGTGTTACTCAAAGGCCACTTTCGCTGTGCTGGCTGCGGGACGCCGCTCTACTCCCCGGAGTCGAAGATGAAGGCTGCTGAGCTGCTGAATTTTTGCTGTTTGCAGGGGTGCTCAGCAGGCAGGAATGTCAGGTCTACGTCAGTGTCCTGTAGAGTAGCATGAGCTCTGATGGGTTGTCCTGCCCTGTAGCATGGTGCCCACATTATTTCCCCAGAGCCCCAAACCCTAAGCCCCGACACGACCCCCAAACTCCGAACCCTGAGCCCTAGAATCCCAGACCCAACCGGGAACCTGAGGCATAGTGCAGTGTGAGCCTGTTACCAACCCAAGCTGCCACCACACCTCGGAGCCTACATCATGCGCCCCTAAATGCACAGCCCAACTAAGAGGAAGGGATGCACGTTGTCAGGCCAATTGTGGCTGGCCGGCGTTCTCCAAGTGCTATGCTTTGGAGGCGTGAGATTCTTGTGGTTTACGGTTAACAGCTATCTTTGGGGTGGAGATGTCATGCGGAACTAAGCGGGGAGAAGGTCTTTAACAAGTTTCGACATGACCTTAAAGGAACATTTGTACTGTTCTAGGAGCTGAGGTTTGATGTTTTTTGCCTTAACCTCCTCACGACCAACCCTATGGGAAACATCCATCCGCGTGTCAGTCGGTGATTGGGTGCTCGTTCACTTCACCTGGGATTGGCATGTCAGGGTGCACCCGCTCGCACATGCACAGTGCCATTCCTGAAAGTTCGGATAGCCAGCTACGGGATTCGTGTTGCTAGGGTCTAGGAATCCTGCATGATTTCGCTTTTCTCAATAACCACCAGCACAAGGCAATCTTGTAGTTAGGCAGCAGCAACCGTGAAAAGGGGCGCACAGTTGTCAAGACAGTGGAATATCCACCTTCACAGATCCCATGGGAATGCAAACTTTAATTAATCCTCCATGACGTCACAAAAGCTTAAACCTCAATGCCAAACCCCAAGCCCTACACTTCACACTCTAGTCATCCTTAGTTTACGTAGTTCTGGAAGCCATGCTAATGACATTTGGTAAAGCCCCTCTGGCAAACTCTCCGCTGAGGGTCTGCCCTCTGTCGTGGCGCAGGCCCTTCTTGGTTGGAGTGCAGGAACACAGGGTACGGAAGATTTTAAGGCTATAGAGGAGTGCCGTCCAAAGACTTCACCAAAAGCTGAAGCTCCCATGCTTCCGGGTTTTGGTCTTTGGGGGTGGTGCTTAGACTTTCAGCATTTTTTCGGATCGGAGTTTAACCAGGTTGGTTAATAGGTTCAAACTTGGCAGTTCATGGACTCAAAGCCCAGGGTGTTGGCATTGGGGATGCCCCAAAAGTATCGGCAAATCTCCATAAAGACTTGAATAATCATGATGTCTCTAAAGCGAAGGATGAGATCTTGCGCATCACATTTTAATTTTAACACTGTGGATTTGCGGCTGTGATGGCGGCCAGTTGTCTTGGGACATAGACATAGCCATCTTGGGTTTGGGTGTCTAGGGGTCGTATCCAGGTTTGGGCTTTGCCGTTCGCCATTTACACAGTTCCTAATCCTCAACTCAGCCTCAAATTTGTGACAGTCGATCAATCCTGCAAGACCCTTCCTGTGGCCCAGGGCCTTGGCTTCGGAGTTTCGAGCAGGCTTCCAGGTGTTGCGGGTCTCATGTTGGCCTGCCCGTTTAGAATTTCAGGTTGGCGATTCGGGGCCTAAGGCTCATGGTACATATAGGTTCTCAAACATTCCGTCGCGTGTGTTTGACGAGGGGCTTTCAAGAAAGTTTTGTTCGATAGCTTGTTCGAAAATCCATCCCGAATCCTGAAAGTTAACATCTTGGAAACTTCTTGCTGCAAGAGTCCTCATCTTATGGTCAGCAGAAATATTGATTATTCTTGATTCTGGAGCAGCTTCTCCAAACCCGTAAGACCCAAACCATACAGCGTCCATGAGTGAACCTCAAGCTCTCAAACACAGAAATCCACCCTTCCATACCCGCGCAGGTTGACTGGAGTTCTGGTGGCAGGGAGATCCTTTGCCGAAACTGTGGAGGTCACCTGGGCCACGTCTTCATGGATGGGAGTTCCCTGGGAGGCCAACCCTGGATTCCTAGAATTTACTCATGTTGAGCGAGCCCTTGAAATCCTTAATCCCACATCCACCAGTCCACAAACCCGTGAACACTCCATATCAGGTTGAGAGAATTCGTGGAGTCTTGCGATAGTTGCTTTTGTTTTTTTTTCGGCAACAGTGCTTCTATCGTAGCATAGGTCAGACATGGCATTGCCCGAAGTGATAGGTCTCAAGCCACAAACCTCCAACCCTGAGCCCTACAGCTCTCTCCCCCAAACCAGCACGCCAAATTAAGGAGCTACGTCCCCTGAAAAGGTGATACCCCCGAGAGACACTGCGTGAACTCCCTTTCGGTGGTGTGGGAAGAGCAGGCCAAGGCTCCCAGGACCTGTTTCATTCTTCAGGAAAAAGCGGTCTGTTTGAGTGTAAGAGAAAGCCCTTTTGAGGCAGTTTCCTTGTAGGTCCTTGAAAAAAGGTTGGCAGACCCGGTTTGAACCCAACAAGTCCGATAGGTTATCGCCGAAACGGAATCCTGAACCTAGAGAATCACAACAGTCCAGAATCATAACAGTCAAGTCATCTTGAAAGACTTTGGAGGTGTCATCTTTGATGGGCTATCCTATATACACTCAAAATATTACAGAAGTCCAGTTGAGGGTTTCCTGGAGGGTGCAAGGTTTATCAATGTCACCCGAAGGCTTTGGAAGAGGTGCTCTGTGACATGCGCACCTTTGACCGTCAGCTCCGTGATCACAGCCACTTGCTTTGAAGCATGAAGTGGCCTCGATGTGGGGGGCAGGTTGTTTCGGGGCTCCTCTGTTGGAGTCGGGTATTGTTACCATCTTTCATGTAATGCTTTCTGAATGATTCAGTCTTTGTGCGTGCATGGACGTAGCCAAGGCTACAGTGGCACCTACTCCGGCACGATGGATCACTGATGGCTTGCGTTCAGATAATGTGCGTTCATTGATGGGCCAGCGCTTCGTGCTACATGGGCAGCATTTTGGACAATCCATCAGATGACACTCTCGACATGGTGTATAATTGCTGTCAACCTGCTTCCGCATGCTCTTGCTGCCATTTCAATCTCGCCCCTGCGAACTTCATGGGAGTGCTGACCGACTGGAACAACAACGGCCTGCACGTAGGTGCCGCGGATGTCTGGGAGGTTCTCAGCTAGATGGAGGAAACGGACATCAGTGCTGCCTCTCATCATTTGAATCGTCCTCACCTCCCTCCGTGTGCGCCCTGAACTTATTCCAGAAAGTGTAACAGGAGTTCTTGTGCTGTGACACACGTGGGCGGTCACGTTGCTGGAGCTTGCGAAGCTCGAGATTTTTCGGCGCTTTCACGCCGATAATGCAAAGGCTTGAATGCTGAAAAATGGTGGGGTGACCACCTTTCTTCACTTGTTATCTCTGGCGCCCTTCAGCAGGGCCCCGAGCCGGGCATCGCAAAAGGGGTTTCCAGGCAGGGTGAAGTGGATTTGCTTGGGAGGGTCAAGGGCTTCAGGTAAGCAATACTTGTGAAAAAGGGCCCGGAATGGCAAGTGGTTGCAGGACCCAGGAGCAGCTTGCACTGAGATGTTTCGACTAAACTGCCCAGGCTCCGAGCCACAGGCCTTGCTGTTTGTAACACGCGGCTTCAAGCCTTTATGCTTCTGCCAACCCAGTGGGGCTCCAAAACTCAATTCTAGAAGCCAGCCCTAGACTCCAAACCTCCAAATCCCAAACCCTTGAGCCTGGAGCCTCGAAGTCCTCGTCCTTGATTCGCGAGCCTTGCACATTTTTCATTCCTGAGCTGCCTTTGAGAAGGTTCGACTCCAGCCAAAATTTTGTCATCCTCAACATTGAGCTTGCTTAAGTAGCCCAAAAGGCTACTGTATGGCCGCAAAACCATGTCCAGCATGATCTTCAGAGCCCAAGGACCCCAACGCCTTACTTAAGCAGACCGCCAATCTCCCTGCAAGCGACTTGCATTCCTTCTTTCTGAATAGCCTTTGAGCCCTGTAAGCCGAATTAAATGGCAATCCCGCCAAGAAGAGTCCTGGCCGCCGAAAAAACGAACCCTAAACTTTAAACCCAAGACGAGCGTGCCCACAAATCGAAGACCGCATGAATTGTAAACCTTGCCATACCAAGCCCCACAGGCCCAAAAGCACACCCTAAAACATGTAACATTCAATCTAGAATCACAGAGCTCTGAACCCTTGCCAGGAGCCGTTTGCTCCCGCCTCCCCTTATTCTGGCTTCTCACGCCCTGTCTCCGACGAGCAGGCCTTTGCGTTTTGGGGACTCTGTTGGGGTTTGCTGTTTAAGTGTTGGTTGGTGTTAGGAGTTTGGAAATCTGTCAGCGATAGACTCCAGCACAATTTTTCTCAGATCGGTGTCGATCGCTTCTTGTTGACAATCCTACAAATTCTTTTTGAGTTGCTGCAGGGAATTCGTGCAGTACTTTCAAACGGCCTACTCCTGCAACCTCATATTCGTTGAGAATCGTCAGGGTTCTTGAGGCCGCAAAATGTCTGAATGGTTAAACAAGATGTTCTACTTGGATTTGAACACATTTTCCAGGAGCACGCAAGTCATGGATACAAAGGAGATCTATGCAGAAATTGCAGCTGTGCAGATATCCCAGCCGGTGGCAGCTTTCCTTGCCTTGCAGAATCGCCTCTGAACCCGGAGACTTTAAGAATTCACATCTGAAACCCTTAAATTAAACCTGGAAACTTTGATCCAAAATCCAGTATAACTCCCTGGAAAGTCCCAAGCCGCATTGTGAAACCTTGAGCCTTAAACGCCTAAGCCCTACTCCTCAAGCACACAGTTGCCCAGGCAACCCGCATACTTCGTCCCCTTTGGCAGGCTGCGCAGGCGCTTGCCCTGCACAAAGCTAGGTTTAAGGGTTTGCAGTCTGCGGAGGCAAGTTGTGAAATGCTAGCATAATCAAGAGGAACATGACTGCAGGTTTGTATGCCTCCCGTAGGGTGGCTTTTGAAATCATGACGAGGGTCTTGTTATTGCATGGTCTTGCTTTGCAAAGCAAGGAGCCTCATTGGAGGTATCTTTCTGACAAGGGTTGGGGGGTCTAGATTCACAGGTACACGAGTGCTTCTAGAAAAAGAAGCTTCAATGTTCAGTAGACTGTAGAAAGATCAATGGTATGAGTTGCTATCTGAGACAAGCCCCTAGAAGCCATAGATCCCACGCCCTCATCTCTAGGTCGTGACCCCTCAACCCTGATCCCCAAGCCCTTAGCCGAAACCCAAAAATCCCCACTCGTCACTGTGACCCATTCAAAAGTCCATGAGAGCCATGTCGCAGGAGTCTCTGAGCAAGGAGCGGCCATCCCGACAACTCGCAAGGAGCCCAGTAAGAAGCTGGTGGTTTAGGGTTTTAGGGTTCAAGTTTGAGGGTTTGGGGCTTAAGTTTTCGATTTTGGGTTAAGGAGGGGTTGGGGTGACTAGCTCCTGGCTGGTATTAATCTTACTGTTGCTATGGTTCATGGCACTTGTTCCTTGTGAATGATCATGGTAATTTTTGATGCGTTATCATGCTTTGTTTCCAGTACCCTGGCATGGTTGGGCTCAGCGTGTAAGGTGTGGGTTCCTGGTTGTGGGCTTGAGGCCAACTTTGTCTGAGGGAGTGTTTGAGTCACGTTAGTTCCGTTAGTTCAATCTGATTTCATCACGGACATAAGTGCGGTCAAGTTGGGCACAAATGCCCTGCACTTTCTAAATCGGCCGGAGGGCTTGAACATTGAGAAGCAATGGTTTTCAGTCAAGTCAAGTTGAGGCGGACATTTTGCACCCTGACGTCTGCACGATTGCGGCCCAAGCGGCCATTATAACGGCTTGTGCAGTGCTCTGTACACTTTCTACAACTGACATGTTTTTGTGTGCAAGCAACCTGAAAGCTAAAAGCAAGTGTAGAATGTCTCGTAAAACTATGAAATTTTTGGAGCCAAAGTTTTCTTTGTACCCTAGGCGGCAGCAGCTTTCGCTTACTTCTCGCAGAAGGATGTCGCTTGTGCGGAAGCAACGGGCTCAGGTCTGAATTAGAGACTTTGGCATGCTGGAATCGGGGGTGAGTTCCGGTTCACTTTCGCTTGCTGTTGGCTCTGCGGTACTCATCCAAGGCGGTCTTCAGGTCCTGCAGGTAGTTTCAAGATTTTGTTTAAACGGTATCTAATTCAATTCCAGGCCAACGCAAAATCCTCAGCTCATGAAGCCAGGTTTGGGGAGTTTCAGTTGGTCTTGCATGTTTTGTACTGCATTGTGGGTGATTCGGGGTGTAGGTAGGCTTGGCGTGAAGGGGTTCAGGCACGCTACTGGTCCAGGCACCTGTCGGTTTTGGACGGTGACTGTTTAAATGCAATAGGCGTTGACAGCTGAAAGCCACAAGCTCATGAATAAGGAGTTGTAGGAGCACATGCAGTTACTTAGCCCACATCGGTCACGCGGACTGATGGGCCGCACCAGCCTACGGTCTTAAGGTCTCCTTCGGGAATCTTAAGATGCGCCTTTTTTCAGTGGCTCAATCTGCTAAGGATTTTGTGGCAGAAGGTTGTGGTTTATCACACCCCTGGCGGATAAATGAGCATGAGTTGAACTTTTATGATGAACTGCCCTACTCTTCAAAACCCATTTCGTTTTCTCAGCACCCTGTATTGACTTTCATCCTACACACCTGGTATACATCCCATTCGATGACGCCTCCCTGCGCTACCTCCCTGAGCTTTCAAAGGAAATCAAAGAAACGACAGGCAGAGGCGACAGCGTCCTTGGCCGCAGCTTGGACGGGCTACGTCTCAGACGTGTTTGCCTGGACGCTCAGCGTTTTCTACATGTTTGGGTTTAGAGACGTGATTGGCAAGATGAGGACTCTAGGGGCTGGAATCTAGGGGCTGGTGTCCAAGGGGTAGAGCTAGGGGATGAGAGCTATAGCGTTGCTGATTCAGTGTTTGGGGGCTTAGAGGCTTAGGCTTGAGGCTGTTTTTTTTGAAGTTAGATAGTGGCAAGCGCCGCAGGAAGAACAGTTTGCCTGGGTCTGAGCAGATCGTGACAGGACAGGGTTTCAGGTTGGATGAGAGTGCTGCGCGTTACGTAAAGCATCAGTCTTTTTTCTCATGATGGTGTTTCTCAGAACTAAAGGCCCCTTTTTCAACCTCTACATAAGGATGCTCTTCCTAACAAGGTAACCCAAGTCCGGAGCCTCAATGTGTAGAGCCACGGTGCAGCCGTGCTCCCGTGCCCCACGCCCTTGCTTCTTGACAGCATGGAGACCCCCGATGAATCCTGTCCTATAGTCGCAGAAGGACATCCGGGAGGCGAGTTCGATTGCGATCGCTAAGCCTTTTTTGTTTACTAGCGGTATGTCTGCTCGTGCATGTTTGTTCCACTCTTCCTAACACTCTTTCTGGCATGGTTTCTTTCAGTGTTTCTTCAATGACTACCTGCCAC